GGTTCAGACCAGACAACCTACTACTGGTGCACCCTTGGATCCGCCCGAGCCTGTCTTCCCTCCCAACAGGGGACTTCATTTTCTGCTGTGGGACTCTTTTCTAAGACACCAACATCTGTGGGACACTTGCTTCCTGAGAACAGAGGCCATTCCTGCAGACACCACCTGCAGGGTCACGTGCCCCGTTACTGTCCACGGGCCTTCCCATTAGCAACTGCGGTGATAGGCATCTGTCATCCTCCAACTCTCTCAACACGCGACAGAGTCCAGACAGCCACAGCTGGCACAGATGTCCTGGGTGGCCACGGCTCTGGAGACACGCGCCCTTTCCAGGGACACATAGCTGAGGTTCAGCGAGGTGCAGGAAGCTCCTTTGCTCTCTAGAAACTCCTAGTGTGCACACTCCCTCTTGCCTGTTGAAGAGGAAGGATTGGTACAAGACAAGACAACCGGTGGGTCACACTCCCCACTGTAGGAAGGCTGGAGTCGGCCTTGGCAGCAGGTGCGGCGTGAGCACTGTTCAGGCGTCGACTAGCGTGGCGCAGGCGTCCAGAGGGACTCCCGTGGGCTCTCCTCGACCCTTGCTGGCCTGGGGGACCAGGAGAGCTGCTGTGTTCTCCCTTCCTAATTACGCACCTGTGGTCACCGAGCCGTGGGAATGGCTGCAGAGGCCACCGTGGGCTTCATAAACTCGAGGTCGCAAGCCACATGCTCTGATCACTTGGATTAAAGTGGTGTTGGTCACCCCAGGTCACAAACAGATCCCTTCTTTTTCCTTATTAGACTTGGCCTGGATCTCGGGCTTCCTCTAGGACCCTGCTTGGTTGCTTTGTTTTTTCAGAGTGAGGTGGCTAGAGGGTCCTGGACCTCTGTCCAGCTGAGTGAAGACCTGTTCTCCAATGCCCCCTGTGTCCACGACAAAGCCTGTGCAAGGGAAGTGTGGGGCCCCCGCGGGCTGCGCGGAGGTGGACCGGGCCTCTCCCGAGCTTGCTCCTCTGCCAGCTAATGGCAGCGACAGGCCGCAGCTCTCGTCCTGGGCATTGTGATCTGAACCAGGGAGCCTTGTTGTGGGTGTTGACTGTGCCCTTTCTGCTTGCTGCCAGGATTATAAATGAGGGAAAATTCAAACCGTAATTGGGCCGGTCTCCAGGTCTCTCCGGGGCCTGCCTGCATTGTTGATTCAGCATTATCAATTATCTTTTGCTCGAATGAGACACTCTCTGGATCGCAGCTCTATTTTAAGCTCACCTCTCAGAGTGACTTCAGAGTGTTTATGTTGGCCAGGACTGTTCCTGACGCCTGCTGGCAGGGGCTTCTGCCATGTGCCGCGGGGCTCCGCACGAGGCCAGGGCACAGGGGCGACCTGAGCAGGGCTGCCTGGCCAGCCGCACCGCCCACCGGAGGGAGGCTCAACCATCGGCATCACGTCTCCTCCTGAACACCCAGCCCTGCCATCCCACGGGCTCAGTGGCTCGTGCCCTGGAGGCTTTCTCTGGGGCACGATGGCCCTGTTAGGCATGGGTGCTTTGGGGGAGAGGCGTGAAACAATGCATGGGCCATCTCTGGTCCCAGGAGCGGGATGCCAAAGCGCAGCAGAGCCAGGGACCCCTCAGCCTCGCCAGGCCACGGCACAGCCTGCAGCCTCACCGCTGTCTCTGCACACAGCGGGAAGTGGCCCTGTGGGAGGGGCTCTGCCCTGACGAGCATGCCACCTGTGACGGGCGGTGCAGAGACGGGCAGGCTCGGCCCTCACACTGCACCACTGTGGAACCACGTGGAGGCCCCCAGTGCCTTCCACCTCAGGCACAGCACGAGGACACCCTGGCTCCCTCCCGCCTCCTTGCTCCCAAGCAGGTGGAAGCCGCTGAGTCTCTGGTAGCACCAGGAAAGCTGTCACGGGTCCACCCTGAGGTGACAGCCAGGCTGACAGAGACACTGAGGCCCACCAACACCATCTCTTCAGGGCCATCTGAGGGCAGGGCTGGGCCCGCTGGGCCTCTGGGAAGAGAAGCCACATGGGGCAAGTCCCGTCTGGCACTAGTGGGCAGGCTGGCGCGGCCTGTTTCCAGGAAGTACTCCGTCCACAGACAGCGCGTGAGCTCCAGCCCTGGACCGAGGTTCAAAGGAAGCGTGAGCAGCAGTGTCCACAGCCAGCAAGGAGCGGCCTCCCCTCTCGCCTCCCTGCAGCAGGTCCACCGTCTGGAAGCTGCCCGCAGCTCCTTCTGAGGAAGAATCCCACCTGAGGCCCAGCCCAGCCCTCCCACACTGACCTCCAGGCAGGGAGAGTCCCCGACGGTCCCACAGCCACCCTTCCCAGGACATGGTCGAGTGTCACCATCGGTCCCAGGAGGACGGTGAGCACAGAGAAGGCAGGCCCGGTCATCTCCTGCAGCCTAACACTCTGGAGTCCAGACAGGCCGTGCACAGGTGTGCTGGACAGAGGGGCACTGGGATGGACATGTGATGCCCAGCCTAGGCCAGCTGCTCTGAAGCAACCCTCTCCTCTTCCCCTGGTGATTGTGATGACCTCCATTCCTCAGTGAGGAGCCGGGGCATGGAGCTGAGGCAGTGTGCCAGCGAACGGAAGGCCCTGGAAGTTGGGGAAGGGGCCCCACTGAGTGCGCAGCCCCTGGAGGGCTCTGCTGGCTCCCTCTGGCCCAGGTCATCTGGGTGGAGGTGTCGCTCTCTCCCACCTGGCCTGCTCCCTGCAGCCTCCAGGAGTCCCATCGGCCAGCGTCTGCAGGTGGCAGGTTGCCTTCTGTCCACCAGCTGGAAGCAGAGGAGCTCTGCAGCCCGAGGAGGTGGACACACAGCGTCTCCTGCTTTGTCCCCGGGGGCCAGTGGCAGTTTCAGGAGGCCCAGTGCCCAGGAGTCCGTCGGCCGGCTCTCACCTTCCTGCCGCCCTCAGCCTCCTGGGCAGACTTCCCAGCTCCTCACGTCGGGGATTAGCTGTCTGCGTCCTTCTGGATGGAAACCCGAATTAGCAGGCCCACGACTCCATCAGCATCGGCACCCAGCTGCTCCAGGGTCCCCATGAAGGCCACAGTGGAGGGCTGCTGCCCCAGCCTGCCCTGAGGACACGCATTCAAGGGGACACGCCAGCCCTGAGCTGGCAGCAAACGGGCCCGTGCCCAGGGAGCAGGCCCCGGGCAGGTGCCTTCACCTGGGAAGGCATCCTCCTCCTAGTGCTCCGTGCAGGGAGGGGCATCCTGGGCACACCCAGCGCTGCCCTGGTGCCAGCCTCCCACTCCCCTGAGCCACACACTCCTGCAGGGAGAACAGCAGCCAGTGTCCCCGGAAGGAGCTCCGGGCTGAGCCTGCCGTGCTCCCAGAGCCGGCCCAGACACAGTGCTCTTCCCACCGCCAAGCCCTGCAGCCACCAGGAGGGACAGCACACACCGCGCATTGCCCCGCAGCACTGAGCCGGAGCCTGCCGGCCACGCTGAAGAGCGTTGGCTGGAGGGCGTTGTGACGCTGTTGCCCTGACACTCCGGGCCGTGGCTGGGGCCGCGGTTTCCCGGCAGCAGGCAGCGCGGAGCCTTTCACAGGGAGCTTTCTGCCTCCGCAGCATCCCCGTTGTCTCCACTTCTAAAGGGACAGCTGAGGACACCAGGTCGCAAGACTGGGCGGAGCGAGGACCCCAGCCCCAGACCCGGGCCCTGGGTCGCTGCACTCCCTTCTCCGGGGTGGAGGGAAGGACTGACGCCCAGGCCACAGGCCCCGCCTTGCAGCCCCACCTGTCTCCCACCCGGGGCTGTGGCGCCTGCCTGGGCTGTGGCTGCGCAGGTGCTGACCAGGTGGACTCTCCTCTGGAGCACCCCGGTGTGCCCTTAGCCAGGCCAAGCAGCGCCCACAGGCTGGTCACTGCCCCAGGGGCCAAGCTGGGCCCTCCCGGCAGGGGGGCGGCTTTGGTAGTCTGCTTTCCTTGTTTCTGAGATTCTGAGGACTCTTGACCCTGTTTTGTTTCCGTAGACACACTCCCTGGGGAGCTGACAGGGACTTGTCCGCGGGGTAGAGCGGGTGGAGTGACCCTGCTCGCTGTGTCCTGCACATGCAGGCACCTCTGGGGCTCACCTTCCCCGCCTCCTCCAGTGCCATGCCGGTCCTCGCCGTCACCAGGGCGAGGTGTGAGACACCAGCCCCATAAGGGGCCCCTTCTCAAGGCCACTGGGCCGAGCTGTGCCTCACCTGGGAAGAGGGCCCAGGACTCCAGCTGTCCACCCTCAGACGGCCCAGCAGGCAGGGCATGTTCTCCACAGGGGACCAGCAGGTTCCCCGGACTCTAACGCCAAGGAAAATGGCAGCCCAGGGCAAGCAGAAGACTGAGACCCTGGGAGCCTCGCCCCAGCTGGCAGGGCCATGGGAATGAAGTGGACAGTGCACAGGGACAGCCTGGCTGCTCTGAAGCCGCTCATCCCTGGCGCGCTTCCAGCCCATCCGTGGCCAAGGTCCCTCACCCACTTCCTCTGGCCGTTCTCCCTGGGCAGAGGGACGGAACCCATGTGGGGGCCGTCACAGTGTCCCAGAATGACACCCTGTCCCCCAGAGGGACGGAGCCCCCAGGGCAGATCTGACGGTCACTGTCAGCCAGGGAGCAGGGTTGCCATGGTCCCCGACCCACACGCAGTGTGGCAGTTGTTTGGGGAGCAGAAAGAAGCGTTGGAGTGAGGTTCGCGCTCCAGCCCTGTGGCCTGGGTCAGGGCACCCGCGAAGCCCTGCCACGCACTCGTGACAGGGGAGAGACCCCCGCCCCGGGCACCTGTCACAGAGTAGGTGCCTAGCCCTTCCCGAGACTGCGGGGTGAGTGTCCTTGGTCTCCCACCGGCCTGCCCCATTGTGGGGCAGGATGTCCAGGGCTACTGAGTGAGGCACCCATGCAGGGGGGTCCCAGTGACCGGGGGGTGGTCTCATGGGAGCAGCCTTGGCTCTCTTGCTGCCTGAGTTCCTAGCCTGCGGCCTTCCCCGAGGCTGGACGCCCTGACTCTGCCTCTGTCTTCCAGGAGCTGTGCCGCCAGCGCATGGCCCCCCGGCCCCCTGACCGCCCCGAGGGCCCACACACTTCCCGCATCAACAGCGTCTCGTCCCAGTTCAGCGACGGGCCAATGCCCAGCCCTTCTGCCCGGAGCAGCACCTCGTCCTGGTCAGAAGAGCCCGTCCAGCCCGACATGGACATCTCCACGGGCCACATGATCCTGGTAAGGCCACACCCCCTGGGGGGGACACGGCAGCACTAACCCTCTGTCGAAGAGGGACAGGGAGCCCCAGAGCCTCCCTGGGGGGCCCGGCCATCAGTGTGCTTCTCGCACCAGGACGGGGTGGGCACCACGCCTCCCAGAAGCCCCTGCACACTGCCCCGGGCCCCTTGGCCCACAAGGGAGCGTGCCGCTGCCCAGAGGTGCCATCCCACATGCCTCGCCACGTGCAAGCTCGTGCGTAGACTGACCTGTTTTCAGCTGAGGAGCCGCACATCTATTAGCGCCTACTGTGTACACGCCACTCTTTTGCTTTCTGAAGAACGAGTGGCAATTGCCCCCTCCTCCTGGGTTCCCAGCCCACTGAGCGCATCTCAGCAGATAGATGTCCCTGTGTGTCCCTGTGTGTCCCTGTGATGGACGGCCCTCTGGAGGCGATTGGTTGGGGTGCAGCCCAGCAGAGCTGCCTGTGGGCGGCGCAGCAGGAGACCTCAGTGCCTTCAGCAGGGAGGCACCGTCCCCGCATCCTGGTCCCCAGGGAGGGACCACACCCATGGCTGTGTGTTGCCACTTGGTGCTTAAGGAGTGCCGGGTCTTATGGGAGCCGTGTTGGTCGCTGGGTGCTTCCTGCTGTGTCCCTGGCCCAGGCAGGGAGGCGGAGACACCTGGCCAGCCATGGTACTGTCCACACTGCCTGCTTCGACTGAGCAGCTGCTGCAATGTGGGCAGGAACGTGTCCTGTGCGCAGCCAGCTCCCTGGACTCAGGCGGGCCCTGCGCACTGTCACCGTGTACTTGGGAAGCCCTCCTTACCTGACCCCTGACGGTGGCATGCACTGGTGGAGTTGGGCCACAGAGGGCCACAAGGCCTGGCGCTTGAGCCAGAGGCTGCTGCTCACCAAGACCACTGGACAAGGCAGCGGGGGTTCAGGTCTATCCTGTGGGACGGGGTGGGTGGGGAGACCCAGGCGGCGGCAGCCGGCCTCCCAGGTTGTAGCACAGGACAGGGTCCAGGTCTCCCCCATCAAGTGCTGGACTAGGGGATGCCTCAAAGGCTGTCCCTCTGACGCAGCAGGGACAGTGTCAATGTGTCCAGGTGGGGCCAGCTGTTCATCGCTCACTTACAAACCTCACTCCTGCTGTGCGCCCAGGTGGCCCGTGGACAGAGAAGCTGCTCTTCATGAGTGGCCGGCAGGTCACCGTCACCTGGCCTCTCAGGGACTTTGATGTGTGTCCCCTTCAGCCGAGACCAGGAGTTCTGACTTGCAGCCCGGCTCAGTGTGGGGGCGACTCGGCAGGGCTGTTGGAGCTCCCAGTGTCATGTGTCACGCAGAGTCCACGTGGCACAGGGACACGTGGTGCCCCTTGTGGGAAGCTGGCCTGGGCTGCAGCATCACGCCAGAGTGCAGCTCGAGTGCGATTTCACAGAGCACCCAGGTCCCAGAACAGACCCCTCGACCGGCCAGATGCTCGCTAGGTCCAACAGGGTCCCTTCAAGCAGCCAGTGAATGCCACCAGACTCCCATCGGGCCCTTTCCCCTGCAGCGCCACGGCTGGACCCGGTTCTCAGGCCTCGGGTGAGGTTCAGCCAGCTCTCTGACTCCATCCCACAGACCTAAGCTCCAGGGAGCTGGGCCTTCCTGGGTCAGTGCCGTGTGCAAAGAACACTGTGACCGAGCACATTCCAGGCTCCAGGAGTGCGGCGGCTAGCTGGGCAGTGGCACACACCTATGATGCCCATGGCTCAGGAGGCCAAGGCAGGAGGATCACAAGTTCAAGGCCAGCCTCAGCAAGTTAGGCCCTAAAGAACTTAGCAGGACCCTGTCTCAAAATAAAAAGCTTTTATAAGGTCTGGGGATGTGACTTAGTGGTCAAGCACCCCAGGATCAATCCCTCATACCAAAAAAACAAGAGAGAGAGAGAGAGAGAATTCAGACAGCTGCAAGCAAGCAGGAGCTGGTGCGTGGAGGGAGGAGGAGGTCCCGCGTGGCCGTGCGGGGGACCCGTCTTCTCGTCACTCGGGAGTCCTGCTCTCTCTCCTCTGTCCTGAGCACAGGGGCTACCTTGGGCGTTTCCTTGGCGCAGTGTGAGGCCTGCTTAGTTGGAGCGGCTCACCCTGGGGCTCAGCGAGGCCCCTCAGGGGAGGCCAGGGGAGCACAGCATGAGAAGACCGGACTGGGAGGCCGAGGTCCTCGTGAACGCTGTGTTGGGCCCCGGCTGCGGGACGTCTGCGTGTCAGTACCTCAGAAGGTGCTGGAAGAGCTGACTTTCCCACTCATTAACGCTGCAAGGAAGATGATCCTGTGGTGACGGTCACCCTGGCCTCGTTGGGACCTGCCTATCCTTATCAGACCACTGACTGGTGACGACGGAGCCACAGAGTGCAGACGTGACGTCCAGGCGACCCCAGCACCACTGTCCCAGGTGGTCAGCAGCGCGTCCGGCAGAGCATGGTGTTCCAACAGCCGCTCGCGGGCACACAGAGGGAAAGCTGTTGGCATCTGAGCGCCAGGGTGGGAGCAAGGGGCACCCATGGTGCCAGGGGGAGGCGTCCACGGCAGTGGGGAAGGCTGATGCTGCACCATTGCTGGCCACACTCGCCCTGAGGTGATGGGCAGCTGGCCCTGGGGGCCCTGTGGGGAGGGCACGCACCTGCCTTGCTGCGTTACGCACTGAGGTGCCAGTCGGAGCCCAGGCAGGTTTCTGCTCGAGACATCCCCCTAGGGCAGAGCAGGGTGGGCAGGGCAGGGAGGCCCACAGGGGAAGGAGCCTCTGTAGAGGCCAGCCCTTGGCTTCAGGAGTCGCTGGAGGAGGCCAAACGCTGTGTGACCTCAGAGGGCCATTGCTGCCGTTGAGCGAGGCCTCCCCACAGGGAACAACCCTGCATGGGTCAGGGCCCGGGCGCCACCTCATAAGTACCCGTGGAGTGACTGGGGGGCTGGGAGAGGACGCCCCCCCGGAACCCGCCCCTCCCTCAGAGCGCTGGCCAGGTGCTGCTGCTGGGTTCCGTGGGTTCCGTCACTGAGAAGCCAGTGACGTGGTGGACACAGCCTCACGGCGGTCACAGATGGCCCTGCACTTCTGTGCAGGCCACGCCTTCCTCAGGGTCCTGCCGCCTCCGTGTGAGTCGAAGAATCTCTTTGATTTCTGTCTTAAAGGACGCCGTCCTGGTCACTGTGCCAAGGGGCGGGGCCTCCTGCCTGCCTCTGGAGGAGGAGGGGCAGGTTCCTGTCCCAGGAGCATCACCTCCCCGTCTCGTCCCCGGAAACCCAGCATGGGACCGCACTCAGGCCACTCCTCAGATGCAGGGTGGACTGCAGGCTCAGAGGTGAAGGAGTCCGTGGCCGGACGGCACCAGTGGCCATGGCCCCACATTGAGAAGACAGCCCCATCCCCTCCCCCACACTCAGACTCCCCACAGAGGACCCCAGCCCGAGGCGGCACGAGCCCCCCACCAGGATGGCTGGCAGCCTGGGCTGCAGGGGGGCAGGTGCCACTCTCCCAGGACCTCGCCCCCCGTTCCTGGTCTTGGCTTCTTGTGCGCCCGAGGACCCTCCGCTGTCACCACCTCAGCCCCTCAGACCCGCTGTCCGCACACCTTTCCACCTGTAGCAAGACGCAGCGACCGTGTGACCAGCAGGCACCCTTCAGAGGTGGCTTCTGCCCCCCCCCCCCCGTCCCCCCTGCAGGCAAAGCCACTGGAAGGCGCTTCCTGGGTGCTTTTATCTGTTTCTGAGACTCCCGCTGTCTGCTCTTGGGCATCACGGGCACAGGCGAAGGCACCAGGAGGGGCCACTGAGAGCTTCCCCCTGCAGAAGGGCTCCCTTTCTGTCCCGGCTGGACAGTGTCCTGAGGCCACCTGAGATGCCCAGAGGAGGAGAGCCAGTTAGGTGACTGAGGCAGGCGGGGAACGTCCAGGCTGGAGAATCAGGTGACCTGCCGTGGCCTCTGTGGCCTGGGGGATGGTCCCGGCCCCAGGGCCCACCCTGGAGCTGGAGATGGCCTCTGACAGGGCGGGGCTGCAGCACTGCCAGGCGCTGTGTGGGGGAGCGCGCTAGACGACCCTCTGCCTGAAGCAGGATGCCCTCCAGGCTCTGCGAGCAGGACTTCCAGCCGCAAGACCCCTTCTGAAGGCAGCGTCGTGTGCCCTGATTGACGGTTTTCTTCACGCCACCGTGTTTGCCAAGCCGGCGGAGCAGGCCCAGCATTCAGGTCCAGGGACTGTGTCAGTGCTGCCCGTGCTGCGCAGGAGCGTTGGCACGGCTCTGTGCTTGTGGGAGGCGGGCTGCAGGAGCACCTCCCACCCAGGCCTCGCCCAGGTCAGGGACAGGTGGAGGACGGCAGGGTGACCCCTACTCCATGTGAGCCACAGGGTGGCCCGTGCTGTGGAGTGGATGCTGGTTTCAGGGAAGCCACGCACCTGCCCAGGAGGCGGCACATGGGAGGCTCTGTGTGGGTGTGGGCTCAGCCCTGTTCCCTGCAGCGCACTGTCCTGTTGTCCGTGTGCGTCAGCTTCTTTATAGTTTCCTGTTGTGGAAACAGCAGGCAGTTCAGACGCACCCCCCCCCACGGCACCGGCCGCGTACACACACGCAGACTGAACTCCACCTGAGTCCCGGCTCACCGAGGCACAGTGGCGTCGGCCAGAGTGGTCATTCCTGGCAGCACAGTGGGCTGGTCTGCTCCACAGCCCCCAGAGGGCTGGGACACTGAGCCCCTTGCAGGTCGGTGGGATTGTCTGTCGTCAAGAGACCCAAATCTAACCAGGCCCAGCAGCCGGGGACACCTGCTGGAGCCTTGGGGTGAGGGTGGTTCCTCGGCTCTGCATCTAGAAGCTGGCTCCGTCGGCCTTCGCCCTAGAGAGGGGTGTGAGATGGCCGAGCCCCCACAGGGGGACTGCAGGCAGCAAAGTGCGGCCTCCTGGGACGCACCCCACCTGCAGCAGCAGGCTGCAGCCCCTCTCCTCTGCATCCTGTCTGATGGCCACGTCCTGCTTGGCAGACA